ACCACCAAGCATGTGGTTCATCATGCCGATACACATGCTCATTCTTCAAGAGTACCAAGGACTAGAATTTCATTGGGAAACCTTACTCCAGCTATCCTCCAGTCCCGATCCTACAGCCCTGATCCTGTCCTTTCAGACTTTGTTTTTCATTTCCCAAATTCAGACGTTCAAAGGAGCACAATTTGAACCCCGGGAGGATGCCAAAACTGCCAATTTAATGTGGTATAAATCTATGAACAAAGAATTCTTCAGGGAAGGGATGTTGTTAAGTGCCGTTGAGTCGATTCTGATACTTAGAGATCCTGTGTAGGGTTTCTAAGGCATGTCTTCTGGGTTTGAACTGCTGACCTGGTGGTTAGTAGTCACGTGCTTTTCCTATAGTGATGGAAACACTGCCTTCCGAACAGTGTGAACCTAGGTGGAGGACATGTTGAGAAACAATAACCTTACATCTTGGTATTTTTGCTTGGTCAGAGTTTCTCTGATTTGTAGAAATACTTTTTGACTTACCCTCATATCTAACCCTTGATCTTTCTGTGGGACGGTTTCATCCCACAACAGAATTTCAGGAATGGAACAGGAAGTGACCCCACCCAATCTGCAGTCTTCTTGAATGAATTAAAAATAATTTGTGTAGGCTACATGCATTGAGTTGTGGATTGTGAACATTTGGAAATGAGTGTGTTTTTCTCTCTGAATTGCCTTCTGTTTTAGACAGAGTTTAGTAAAACCAGCATCTTAAACAAGGAAAATGCTACCATTTTTAGAATGGAGGAGCCACATGGCTTAATGAATTAAAGTCTATGACGCAGGCCGACTAATTCAAACCCACCCACAGCAGAAAGACAGAATTCTCCAACTTGTGCCAGGCTCCTCCATGCAGTTTCTAGGTTCCTTTATTCAACTACATCTTTTGATTCCTTGACCCAAAAAATCCCCCAGTTCACCAGAGTGCGCTTTATTACAGCATCTGTGAGCCGCAGTCATGCTGCTCAGGTGGCTAGATGCTTTGCCCTGTAGTGGAGAGGAAATGAACATACCACGGTCCCCTCTGTTCTCAACCTTATCCGTGGAACATTTGGAGCCTGAATGGACATGCCCAGGAGTGGCCAACTGTGGGGCCTCCCCAGCCTTTGTGTTTGTGCAGGAGAATTTTTTCCTGGGGACTAGAGGCCCCACCCCGGGCTCCTCCACCCTGTACTTCCTGGACTTTTGAATGGTGGGATGGTGTATGACTTGGGCTTCTCATGGGTGCTATGTGTGGGGCGCCCATCATCCCTATGCCAACTCCCCTTCACATAGCTTTGTGGTGAAGACTTTACTGCCGCCTTGGGTCTAGGTAAGTAAAATCCAGTTATTACGATTGTTGTTGTTAGGTGCCATCGAGTCGGTACCGACCCATAGCGACCCTCTATATGGCAGAATGAAACACTGATATATCATATCATATTTTTTCTTTTTGAAGAATCAGGTTAAAGTAATAGTCTTGTCTTTAACTCACAGAAGTAGCAACTGAAACAGTGAAGTGTGCTTTGGCCCGGTGCCTAGCCACTGCCTTTGGACACAGTGATTTTTTTTTTTTTTTTTTTTTGACTCTAAAGGAGCAGGCTGGATACAGAACCCAGGTTTGGAAATACCGTGACTCTCATGACGTTATTGCATCTCAAGGTGTGCATGATCAGAAATGACTTTTGACATTTTTCTGTAAAGAGGGCTTACTTCAGTTTTCAGAGGGGTTCAGCCCTCAGAAGAGCACATTGCATGAGGAGGGCTGGATTTGATCACAGGCCGAGCAACTTCATTCATCTGCTGCAGCCTTCTGTGCCTGGGTCTCTTGGGGTAGGTGGTCCGATTTGTACCTCCTCACAGATACATAAGGACAGTAGAGATAGGAAGGGATTGAAGAACTGATTTCCTCCCCACCCCCCAACTCACAGTGACCCTATAAGATGGAGAACTGCTCCCTGGGACTTCTGAAGCTATGGTTCTTTCTGGAAGCAGACTGCCTCATCTTTGTCCTGTGGAGTGGATGGTGGGTTTGGATGGCTGACCTTAAGGTTGATAGACCAACGTTTACCCCACTGTGCCAACCGGGCTCCTCATAATAGGATTAAACCAAATCCACTGTTACAGAGTTGATTTCGACTTGTCGTGACCCAAAAAGGGTTTCTGAGACAAAAAATCTTTTCGTGACCCAAAAAGGGTTTCTGAAAAAATAAATCTTTTTTCTGTAGAACAGCTAGTGAGTTTGAACAGCTAACTCTGTGGTTAACAGTCTAATGCCTAACCTACAGTAGCATCAGCACTCCTTCCTTATAGTAAGGGGCGTTAGAAGGATTCCATTTCAAGGGTTGGAAGGGTTGATCCTAAGTTCCTGGGAGATCAGAACATAATCTGTCTGCTAATCAGGAATTATGGGTGTACATCACATTTTGGGCCCTGCTGTGTTGATTACTTGCTCTTGAGTATCCTAAGATGACACCTATAGATCCAGGGGTTTCAAAACAACAAAGCCAGTGGGATAGTGTGGTCACAGGGACGGGTCTCTCATTGGTGTCTCTAAACTGGTAGAGGAAGGAGCACTTTAAGGGTTTTGCATTTTAAGATTTAGTATGGGGGAAGGAGTGGAGCCTTCCCACCTCGGAAATAGCTGTATGGCACATAACAACAACAACAACAACTCAGGAGCTCAGGGTCTTGTTCCTTATACTAGTGTAAAGCATGCCAGCACAGTTTGGGGATGAGGTAGAGAAAGGCATTGAAGTTTCCATAGCTATGCCTCTTGGAGTCCCTGTCACAAGAAGACCATGAGACCATTTGCTTTTAAAAGATTAAAGGCCCCCACATAATTCCTACTCATGTCATAAATTTATGAGGCAGAACTGGTATGTTGAGCACTGTAGTTTCATATTGCTCTTGAGGGCTGAATTTCCTTTGTATGCCCATGTTTTCATGAGTTACAATTGGGTGGTTAACAAATAGAGCCAGTGGGGTGGGTCTGATTTTTTTGCCAGAACCATCCAGATTTAATATTTAACATAACTGTTTGCTTGGGTTGGAACATTTGATTCTTCTTGTCCCTGTGCTATTTGATGTAAGATACATTTGTTACTTTGCACAAGCCTCACTCTCAGCCCCAGAGCAAGCATTTGCACACTGGGTTGCTTCCTGGCACGCCTGTGAGTTGTACTTATAACAACAGGACAAGGCTGGAGGAACTAATCTAGCCCTCCCAGGGAAAAGGAGTAACTCAATTGACGTTCCGTTGTAATTTAGCCGTGGGTTAATGGCCACTTACTGGAAAATGTTACCAGGCTCTGCGGTGAGTGTTGTTAGAAACTGAATTACTCTGCATATTTCCCCAGAGCCTTTTCCTCCCTCTGCCTCAACTAGACATGCTGAGCTGCAGGAAGTGGCACTATGTTGCAATCACAGCTTCCTTGCTCCTTTGTATTATTTATTTTGTGTTTCAAAAATAATCATACAGCTTTCAATGATTGAAGAGACTTGCCAAGAACTAACTCGGAGGTGGCTCAGGGTCGCTGGGTTACTTTGTTGTGGGGCATCAGGCTGGTGGTGCCCAGAGGCAGCCCAGAAGCCAGTGTCAAGCAGTGTTCATGGCAGGCTTAGTATTTCCTCTGAGTCACCTGAGCACTTCTCTGTCTCTCTGTCTTTACCCATGGAAGGATTTCAAACAGCTGGTCACTTCCCTAGGCTGGAAAGCCTTGTATGGGCCAGAGAGATGATGAAAGAACATCAGTGTCTGAGTCTGAGCTTGGGTAGAGTCCTGACTTTGCCATTTATTAGTGGTCTTCGCCGCTCTGAGCCTACCTGCTAATAAAACGGGACACCTGTCTGTAAGGATGAGCCATCAATGACAGGCTGTGAATGGAAGCAGCTAACACCGTACCTGGAACATGGTCAGTACTTGTCAAAAGTTCCTCCCTCTTGACATTTGTTGCTGTTTAGGGCTGTTGAGTTGATCCTCACTCACAGCTACCCTGTATAGGGTTTTTAAGGAGCAAGCGGCTGGTGAGTTTGAACCACCGACCTTGCAATTCAAACCAACCTTGTGGTCCAGTTCTTATCCTACAGTGCACAGCAGGACTCCCCTCTCTACATTATCAACTTAAAAATGAAACAGTAGCAACAAAGATTTCAGATGAAAGTGTTGGGAATAGAGGAACTGGTGAAGGAAAAGAGTTTATTTGCTTTCTTTGGGTCCAGAGATACCATCCCATTTTCCTTTCATTTGAGGAAGACAGAGGGCCAAGAGGACTCCCCCTCTCCCTGTGTCTCAGGGGCTCCAATGACTTGGTTTTTGTGGAATGGCAGGAAGCCAGTTTCCTCTAGCTGCAAAGAATGTCTTTTGGGGGGGCTTGATGGCACATTGAGTAAAGCGCTTGACTGCTAACCAAAAGGTGGACAATTTGAACTTCATAGCTGCTCCGCGGGAAGATGTGGCAGTCTGTTTGTGTAAAAATTTACAGCCTTGGAAACCCATGGGGGCAGTTCTGCTTTGTCCTCTAGGGTTTCTATGAGTTGAACTTGACCCAAATGCAGTGATTCAGGGCTCCTTCTAGGGAATTCCACATTGGCATGGTGCAGCATTCCATTTCTGGGTGGTGTTTTCAGCTCCTTGGTCCTGTTAGGGATCCCCATCCTTTCGGAAGTAAATGAAATAATTGTTGCCAACCTCCCACTTAATTACCAGGGTGGCTGGTTGTCTTTCTCCAGCATGAGCTGAGGACGTTTACTGGGGCACTTGGCAGCCTTGCTCTCCAATGGCACCAGAGCCTGGAACTGTGAACTCTGTGGATTCCTGAGACTTTCTTTCCCTCTGCTCCCCAGTCTGGAAGGCCTCTCTGGGCTCAAGCCACAGAAGCACACAGTACACAGAAGTGGCAGGCTGCCCCCGGCTCCCTTTGGTTGCTCCACACAAGACTGGCTCCCACTGACATGGCTGTGGCTTACCTCTCTTCCCTTCATTCCCCATCTAGAGTACAAGAAGAAGTATGGGGAGGAACACGGCTCCTGCCAGGCCGGGATCTCAGGCTTCTTCACTGAGGTTGGTGTTCATTTTCTTACGTTTGATTATGTTTCCCAGTTGGAACTTTAGCTGCCTAGATGCTTGAGTAGTGAATGGGTAGATTCTGATCCTCACACCCAAGGAGGGCTAATTTGGAGGCTACCCCCCCTCTCCCATTTTGAGGATTTGTATAGGAATCAGCATGACTCTGAGACTTGTGGAAGGAATTGTTTAAAAGGGGGATGTAAGTGAAACAATGGAGTCCTGGTGTGGCGCTGTGGGCTAATGCGTCAGACTGCAGAGTCGTTTGAACTGCAAGGTCGGTGGTTCAAGCTCACCAGCTGCTCCGTGGAAACCCTGTACAGGGTCCCTGTGGGTCAGAATTGACTCGATGGCACTTAGCAACAACAATAAGTGAAACAAGTTGTGCTTCATTGTGGGCAGCTGTTAAGCTACATAAAGCATATGAGCATCAGCTCAGCTCATTCCTCTCTCCTTAGTGGGGAGACCTGATTTTATATATAGTATAGTTAACTGTTCCCTTTCCCAAATTCTGAAGGACCATTAACTGGAATGCTTATATGCCTAATGCAGAAGTTGTTGTTGTTATGTGCCGTGGAGTCAGTTCTGACTCATAGCGACCCTGTACAGGGTTTCCAAGGATGTAAATATTTACGGGAGCAGAAAGCCTCATCTTTCTCCCGTGGAACAGCTGGTAGTTTCGAACTGCTGACCTTGAGGTTAGCAGCCCGATTCATAACCACTACGCTACCAGAGTTCCTTAATGCAGAAGTGACATGACCTTTAATTTAACTGGTAGTACGGTTTTAGGGATTATTTGTGATTTTTATATTTCATTAGTGTACCCTTTATAACAGCCCCTCATTTCTCAAACATTTTTGTGACTTTGCCATGTACAAAGGCCATGATGAGGCCATGGAAGTGGCAACACTCTCCATCTCATAGCTCAGATAAAAAACAAAACAGTAACTCAGCTCTTTCTCACTTCTAATTCATCTGCATGCCTTTTGTTTTAACTTTCCAACACAGCTCATATCTGGCAGCTTTTAACTACCACCACCACCACCTCTCCAATGGTAGGGCACTGTGGGCTAATTCACTGGACTGCAAGATTGGTTTGAACCACGAGGTTGGTGGTTCAAACTCATCAGCTGATCCTTTGAAGCCCTAGGTTGCTATGAGTTGGAACCGAATCGTCAGCACTTAACAACAATCACCACCATTACCACCACCACCACCACTTCCATTACTCCATCACCATTTCCTCCATTATCTCCACCACTACCACCATGAACAAACAGCTTTCTTACCTCCACCATCACTACCACCTCCATCACCTCCACCATCTCTATTAACTGCACCATCTCCAATACCTCCACCATCACCACCATCTTCATTACCTCCACCACCACCACCTCCATTACCTCCTCCACCATCTCCATTACCTCCATCCCCATCTCCATTACCTCCACCACCACCACCTCCATTACCTCCTCCACCATCTCCATTACCTCCATCCCCATCTTCATTACCTCCACCACCACCACCTCCATTACCTCCTCCACCCCCATCTCCATTACCTCCACCACCTCCTCCATTACCTCTATCCCCATCCCCATTACCTCCACCACCACCATCTCCATTACCTCCACCACTACCATCTCCATGATCACCACCTCTATTTCAGACCCTGCCATTAAAAATTGGAGTCCCTGGGAGGTGCAAAAAAAGTACGCAACTACTAGTCAAGAAGTTGGCAGTTTGAACTTCTCCAGGAGTAACTTTTAAGAAAGGTCTGGCTATCTGCTCCTGAAAAGACCACAGCCTTGAAACCCTTATGAAGCATAGGTCTACTTTGACACACATGGGATTGCATGGGTTAGAGTTGACTCAATGGCAGCAGATTTACTTGAAATTAAAAAGAGAAAACAGGGATTCAAAAAGAAAATAGTGTTGGAAATACAGTGTCTAGTCCAGAATGTAAAATGATAGTAAAAATTTAGAAATTTTATTACCGTTGACTCTAAAACCTGTAAATATGAGCTACACCCTCCATACTCCGACTTCTCTCTCATCTTCAGTAATTCCTATTATGTGCAGGTTATCACTTGGCTTTTTTTTTTTAAAAATATTTTACTGTGTAGGTTCCCACTCAAAATTTTTGCACAAGTTGTTCAGTGACATTGGTCACATTCTTCACAATGTGTAAACATTAGGCTGGTTTGTTGAGAATCATTTGTATGACGTTTCACTTAGACTTTGAGAATACCAGCAACTATCTTCTTAGCAGTTCAGGCCCTCCAATTCATCCAATCCATCAACAAGTCTTTCCTCCTTACACTTCAAAACATATCACAAGATACCCTTTTCTCTTCACCTCTACTACCTCCCACAAGTCTAAGCTGCAGGTGTCTTGTGCCCGGACCACTGAACAAATTTCCTGTCTTGCTGCTGGACTCTCACCACTCCTACAAGCTAGAACCTCCATGTGCCTTCCAATCTCACTTAAAATAAGTCTGTTTATTTCCCATACCCTTCCAGACCCTCTACAGTCTGGCTTATTCCTGACTTCTCAGGCTCATCTGTTACAGGTGGTTCCCCACTCCTTCTGGATTTACTCACTTACAGCTACAGTGATTTTCTGTTGTTTTAGTGCAGTTGAGTAGCTTTGTAGCTTTTTAAAAATACTGACCATTTGTATTTCCTTTTCTGGAAATTGTTTGCTTCTTTTCTTAGCACTTCATACTTTTTCATTTTGTTTTTGTTTTAGTGATTTTTAGGAGCTTGTTACATATACTTGACATTTTGAGATTTGTTACAGACAATTTTGTGTGTTAAATGTGATAGACTTTTTTTTTTAAATCAGTCTCTTTACTGTCTTTTCAGTTTTTTTTGTATCTTTATCATGTTGGTATTAAATATTAAGATTTGGTCAAATCTATCAGTAATTTTTTTCTGGATTGTACGTACCTTAATCTCTTAGGAATCTCATCTTCACCCTAAGCATATGAAAATATCTACTTATATTTTCTTCTTGTGCTTTTGTTTGCTTTTTAAAAGTAAGACTTTATATATTTAATCCATTTGGAATTTATTTTTGCATAGGTTGCATAATAGAAATAACATTGTTTTCCTATATGTTCAGTTGGTTCTTCTGATACTGGTTTGTTAATCAGTGGGAATAGAATTGAAATACCATCCTTCCATATGCCCAGTCCAATCTCTTCTTCTATCTCAGTAAGCATTTATACTTGTATGACTGTTGTCCTTTCAGCAAGGCCTCCTGAAGTCTGACGTGATCCAGTATGCAGTGGGAGCCATTGTAAATTCATAAGCAGGGAACCACCATGGTAGATGGCTGTGCTGTAAGAAAGAATATTTGTGCTGAGTATGTCTTGGTGGTTTGGAAGTGAGAGGGACTGGAGGGAATCTTGGTACATGGCTGTGATGTGGTGCAGCTAGTAAGCAACAGGACTGGCTAGGGTGATGGCAGTAAGTAAAAAAAAAAAACCTAGTGGAGTCAGAGAATATAAGGAAGTACTAATGGGTTGAGTGACCAGGTGGCTGTTGGATAGAGGACTGAAGTTTTGAGACAGGGTTCTGGAGAATGGTGATACTCTTCTTGGTGGAAAGGGGCCTCAGAAGAAGGAATCTATAGGAAGAGGTACACAGTTAAGTCAGATTTTAGACCCATGGAGTTAGAAGTGATTGGACGCTAACACAGACATTACTAGGAGACACTCGCACATGTGGACTGGAGCTCAGGTTGACCTTAGATTTGGTCATTGCTCTAAGTCTCTGAGAAGACAGTATGCTTAGCATGGGACTAGGGGATAGCGACCTTAGGTTAGGTGGTAGAAGGAGAAAGGAGATTTATCACAAAAGCCAGGATTAATCTGAGCTGTTGATGGAGAACCTAGGAGCAAAGAAGTTATGAGGAAGGAGGTGGCCATGGTGGTCCCATCAGCAGGTGAGTGCTAGGTGAGAGGAGGGTTTGATAGGAGAAGCAGGAAGGGAAGGAGGTTGTGGAGGGAGCTTGCACACCCAGGTGGCTGTGCAAGCTCAGTATGACCAGAGGAGCAAGAGGACCTGTTTAAACTCCATGCTGTGGAGCTCAGTGCCCGAGGAACTATGTTGTGTTGTTGTGAAGTGCCATCGAGTTGGTTCCGTCCCATAGCGACCCTGGATAGGGTTTTCCAAGGAGCAGCTGGTGAGCTTGAACCACCAATCTTGCATTTCAAATGGCTTTGCAGTCTGATGCGTTACCCCACAGTGCCACACTAGGACTCTGCATATGGTGACCAGGTTCAAGTAAATTGGATCAAGACCTTGTGTATGGGGTGGCAGGGAGCAGGAAGGCGCTCTCTCTGACCACAACTCAGTCCTCTGACCCCTGAATCGCTTGGGCTTTTGCCTCTGTTTTAGTTCCCAGGCTCTTGACCTCCTTAAACAGGAGTTCTTTGAACTCATTGTCTCCTTTATTTCTGGAACTCCAGCTGTTTGAGGCTGAGCAGGAAATGTGATTGAAGGGTTCAGGCAGGCCTTGCTCCCCTTTGCTGCCCTCCTACTGACCTCATCACTTGGGCCTCTCTCTGGCTGTGAACTGGTCAGCTCTCCTTACAAGGCAGGAAGCTGCTTCCCAAGCTGGACATGCTTCTGTATCCTTCTGGACATGGTCATGTTGCCCAGAAATATTCTGGCCAGCAGTGCCTACTTGACCTGAAGGTTAGTGACCCTGGAGTTATCAAAGCCCTTCAAGTTATGGATACCATATGGATGTTAGCCCATCACTGAGGATAAGGGAGACTTTCCTGGGAACTTTGCTTTTTGCAGAGACTAAGATAAGAGATGTGGTAGATACTTCACAGCAGCAAGAGAAGACTTTGTCCTGTGCTACTTACAGCATCAGTGTAGGGCTACTGCCTCTTTGCCTGATGGGTAAACTGGACCAACCCTTTGAGAATCAGACACCACGTCAGACATGTAGAGAAGACATTGGGTTGAAGTGTGACCAGCAC